ACATATGCTATAAGATCTGCATACCCAAGTCTCTGAGGTGGCTTGATGACTCTCCTAGACCTGTCTCTTGCTAGCAGGTAGTCATTATCAGTCTCCTCATCTTCGACAGCATCTTATGCGTCTTCTTCGACTTCATCTGGGATACGCAATACAACATCAACATGTTCCACCTCAATAGGAATCACTCCCTGTTCCAGCTCTTCGTCAGCATCATCAATTTTCTTGAAATCCATCTCTGCTCCATTGAAAACTATATCTCGACTGGTGATACACCTTCTATGATTTGGCTCTAGGCACCATAGCCTGTAAGCTTTGACTCCTTTAGGGTATCCCATAAACATCCATTTCAAAGCTATAGGTTCGACCTTGTCTTGCCTAATATGAGCATATGTCACGCAGTCAAGTACTCTCAGTTTATCGAGACTAGGTGGATGTCCCGACCAAACTTCTTCAGGTGTCTTCAATCCTAAGACAGTCGAGGGACATCTATTTATCAGGTAAGTTGTTGTCGAAACAGCCTCCAACCAAAACACCTTCTTCAATCCAACACTAACCAACATACATCTAACCCTTTCAAGGATTGTTCGATTGAATCTTTTAGCTAAGCCATTTTGTTAAGGAGTACATGCTACAGTCTTATGTCTTGCAATCCCAGACTCAACATAGTAATTGTCGAACGCTTCGTTGCAGAATTCAAGACCATTGTTGGTTCTCAACCTCTTAACCTTTCTGTCAGTTTGAGTTTCGACCAGAATCTTCCAACTTTTGAAATTCTCAAAAGTTTCATCCTTCATCTTCTAAATGAATACCCATAACTTTCTGGAATAGTCATCAACGATGGATAGAAAATACCTTGCACCTGAGTGTGAAGGATTCCTTGCAGACCCCCAAAGATCAGCATGAATGTAATCCAGGGATCCATGTGTTCTTTGCTTGCCTTTGTTAAACTCCGCCCTACAGGATTTACCAAATACACAAGATTCACAAAAATCCAACTTTTCAACTTTATCACCTCCTAACAGGTTCTGCTTCCCCAATTCGACCAGACCTCTTTCCCTGACATGGCCTAATCTCATGTGCCATAATTCTGTCTTTGACACAGGTTTCATGGATACAAAATTTGTTGAACCACTTACAACCTCAGCCTCAAGGGTATACAAGCCTTGTTTCTTCACGTCTCTCAAGACTTCCTTCGACCCCTTCATGACTCTTAGGATACTTTTCTCTCCTTGAAAAACGTATCCCTTTTGGTCGAATTCACCAAGAGAAATCAAATTTCTCTTCAAGTCAGGTACATACCTGACTTCAATCAATAAACTTATTGACTCATCATGGAGCTTGAATCTCACAGATTCAATACCTACACTTTTGTAAGATTTGTTGTTTCCCAGCAGCATAGATCCACTAGGAATGGCAACGGGGCGGGGCGGGGGCGAGTTTAACTATACCTGCACCCGCCTCCATGTAACATACCCGCCCCCGTCTCCAAACCCAACCAGGGGTAAATACTTACCACCCAGACCCGCCCCTAGTAGAGAACGGGTGCACCCGCACCCGCCTTGCACCCACCTGCAAAAAAATAATTTTTTTTTAATTACAATAAAAATTAATAATTTAATTAAAAAATTGATTATTTTAATAAATTAATTAATTATTTAATTAAAATTTTAATTAGTAAATAAATATTAACTTGATTAATTTGATTATTTTAATTGCAATAAGGGCATTAATAATTTAACTAAAAATATAATTAATAAATGAATATTAAAATAAGTAAAATAAGGAAATTAAAAAAAATGCATTATCAGGGTGCGGGTGCGGGCGAGTCTTAGTGTTTTTCCGCACTCGCACCCGTAGTTAAGAACTAGGTTTCACCCGCACCCAATTAAATTGGGTTTTCCCCGTTAATTTCGGGGCAGGCCCAAGCGGGTCTGGGTTTGTTTGTCATCCCTAAGATCCACCATCTTGATCACATAGCTCCTTGAACAGTTCTCTGTTTAGAGTCATGTGCCAAGTGCAACTTGAATCCATAATCCACTCTTTTCTCAAGTCGCCACTTGAAACCACAAGAACATCAGATGAATCGAAGTAATCTTGAACAATGGTTGCGTTGCCATTACCTCCATGATCTTTCAGGCGTTCAGGGCACACCTTTCTTGTGTGACCCTCCTTCTTACAGTGATAACATCGAATACCTGATGTTTCGCCACTATAAGATTTCTGTTGACTTTTACCTTTCTTCTTGTCGAACTTACCATCCTTTCGCAAGAATTTTCCCTTAACGGCCAAACCTTCGCCCACTGTCGAAGGTTTATGCTCCTTTCGTTTGTTCAAGTCCTTAAAATACAAGGCTGATTGAACTTCTTCAAAGGTCAGGGACTCCCTTCCATACAAGAGAGTTTTTTTTGAAGTGAGCATGTGTTATGGGCAAAACACACAACAACAACAGTGCTTGATCTTCGTCAATGATCTTCATATCAATATTTTCAAGATCAAGAATCAGTTTGTTGAACATATCCAACTACTCAACCAACACTTTTTCTTCATTCATCTTGAATGAATACAAAGCTTGCTTCAGGTAGAGTCGATTCACCAGAGATTTGGTCATGTACAAACTTTTAAGTTTCACCCATAATCCTGATGTTGTAGTCTTCTTTGATACCTGCAGAAGAACCTTATCACCAAGGCTCAACAATATTGCACTGTGGGCTTTCTCAATCATGCCCGTCTTTTCTTTTGCTGTTAACGCAACGTCTATGGCCGCCTCTCCTTTCAATGCTTCCGAACAACCCTGCTGAACCAGTAGGGCTTTTATCTTCAAGCACCACAGATCGAAGTAGTTCACTCTGGTGAACTTTTCAATCTCATACTTTATTGAATGCATCTTCTCCATGCTCACCGCACCAACTTGTTGTGAATCAGATGTCTTGAAATAAAGTATAAACGGTTTCTTTATGATCAAGAAACACACAAGAGTTAGGGTTAACAAAGAAAACAAGGTAAAACAACAAGGATTGGTTATAAACTGCTACTCTTTGCTTTCTCTTAGAAATAAGATCACAAGTATACAAGAATAACAAAATAACCTCTCTCTTTTAAAATTAGGATTTTATCTTCCTATTTTTCCTTATATTAAGATTGAGAAACTAACATCCTATTTATAAGACAAATAATACACTAACCTAATGGACTTTTTAACAATTATCCATTAGAAACTAATTTAGGGTACAAGCTAACTTAAATAATTGGGCTTACAAGCAAAACACAATTCAACATGCTAACAACCCTATAAATATTGACTAATGCATGTTAGAACAAACTTCAACTACAACACGCATTACTCTGACAACAACATACAGACAGACTTCGACCTCATGCTTAATTCCTGTCGAACCAGAGGCTACCCTTCGACCATACTAGAGTTCGATCCAATATCTCACAGTTTAGCTCGATGGTCCATGAGTGGAAGCACTCCTGGTGGTTCCTTCAAAAATGATTCTTCAAACTTATGTTCAATGGTGTTAGGGATCTACATCCATTTATCTAACCATCTCTCATATTTACTACTCCCATTTTTCTTCCTTCTATGTGATGATTCATATTCTTAACTAGTGGGATGGTTTTTGTTCCTACCTTAAGTGTCGACTGATCGGGTTTGGTTTCATCACAAATTTTAATCACATCAACTAAATAACAAGAAAACTTTGTATAAGGGTCTTTTACAAGACTTGTCATTATGAATTCAATCCTCTCATTTCCTATCTCAAATGTTAATCTTCTCCTCTTAAGATCAATAATTACGCCAACAGTGCGTAAAATGAGCTTACCAACAATGATAAGTACCTGAGAATTTCTTTAATGTCCATGATAATAAAATCAGTTGGCATATATAGATGTCCTATTTTTCACGAGTACATCTTCTAACACACCGACTAGGTATTTGACTTATCTGTCTGCAAGTTGCGGAGAAATATTTGTGGGTTTCATCTCACCCATTCCTAACCTCTTGTGCACAAATACAGAATGTGGGCATCAAGATAATGCTGACTCTTAAATCACATAGTGCTCTCTCAAACTCCATAGTGCCAAGCTGACAGGGAATTGGAAAACACCTCAGATCCTTCAGTTTTGGTGGCATACTTTGGATCATTGCACTACTCGTAATAGTCATTGCTATGATTTCATGTTCATCTAATCTTCTCTTTTTAGATAAGATTTACTTTAAAAACTTAACATAAATGTGCATTTGGGAGAAAACTTAGGTGAAAGGCACATTGACATAGAGTTTTTTCAATATCTCTACGAATTTCATAAATTAAGCTTCTACCTTAGCCTTAGAAACTTGTTGCTGCACAACTTGGGAAATCCGTGTCTCCAACATTTTATTATGAATGGAAATGGATTCAACCTTAGCGGTTAGTTGTTTAAAAACCTCATTTGTGTGGAGATTTTGCTTTCTAAAATTTTCATTCTAACAATTTTGTATCACCAGAAAACTCTCTATCATAGATTTAAAGTTAGGCTTCGTATGAGTTGCGCCTTATTGATAATCCGGAAGTCCCATGGCATTCTGAGGCTGATTAGTCTTATAAGAGAAGTTGGGGTAATCGAATTATTAACCTAAATATTATTAACCCAATACATAAAATAAATAAAAAACTATGAGATGCACTTCACCTATCATAAATAATATATCGAAATATCGATGTTGCAATGCATAAGCGACCTATCTGCCACCATTGTAATCCAAGCCGGTTGTTCGTATTGTGATTTTTCATTTCATCTTCACCATCCCTCTTCCACCATTGTAGAAGGCGCGAAACTTCGCGACGGCAGTTACACGCGCTGCACCTGACATCTCCTTAGAAGCCAGCGGCCACTCCCCTCCGTGCTGCCCCGATCGTGACACAATTGCCCGCAATTAACTACCTAGTTTTCAAATGCAGTAGATGGTGTATATTTGACCTGCTCAGTTGAATTTCGAGAATTTGGCCACTGACATGAACAAGGGTATACATTCTCTGAAATGGGTTCTCTTGGATTTAATCGAGAGGTGCAATGATTTGAGATCCTTCAAGCAAATCCATGCGCAGCTCTTGACTTCTACCCTTGTCACCAATGACTTGGTTGTCCCCAAAGTCGCAAACTTTTTTGGGAAACATGTCACTGAGATTCATTACCCTATCAATTTCTTGAAGCAGTTTGATTGGAGCTCGAGCTCTTTCCCTTGCAATTTGATGATTTCTGGCTATGGTGCTGGTCGCTTACCTTGGGCTGCAATCCTAGTTTATAGATGGTCTGTCCGAAATGGGTTTGTGCCTGATGTGTTTACTGTCCCAGCAGTTTTGAAATCATGTGCTAAGTTTTCTGGTATTATAGAGGTTAGACAGTTTCATTCGTTGGCTGTCAAGTCTGGGTTGTGGTGTGATATTTTTGTGCAAAACTCTCTTGTGCATGTTTATAGTATTTGTGGGGATACTGTAGATGCTGGTAAGGTGTTTGATGTTATGCTTGTGAGAGATGTAGTCTCTTGGACTGGTTTGATATCCGGGTATGTGAAGGCTGGGTTGTTCAATGATGCTGTTGAGTTGTTTTTGAGAATGGATGTGGTGCCTAATGTAGCAACGTTTGTTAGTATTTTTGGGGCATGTGGGAAATTGGGTTGTTTGAAATTGGGGAAGAGGATTCATGGGTTGGTTTGTAAATATCCGCATGGAAAGGAGTTGGTGGTGAGCAATACTGTGGTAGATATGTATATGAAGTGTGAGTCTGTATCTGATGCAAAACAGTTGTTTGATGAGATTCCTGAAAAGGACATTGTTTCTTGGACTAGTATGATAAGTGGATTAGTGCAATGCCAGTGTCCACAGGAATCACTTGATTTGTTCTGTGAAATGCTGGATTCAGGTTTTGAGCCTGATGGGGTTATACTAACGAGTGTGCTTTCTGCTTGTGCTAGTCTTGGGCTTCTTGATTATGGAAGATGGGTTCATGAATACATTGATCGTAGTCGTATCAAATGGGATGTTTATATAGGAACATCATTGGTTGACATGTATGCAAAATGTGGTTGCATAGAGACGGCTCAACGTGTCTTTAATTTGTTGCCTTCTAAGAATATCCGTACTTGGAATGCTTATATTGGTGGTCTAGCAATAAATGGACATGGAAAAGAAGCACTAAAACAATTTGGGTATTTGGTTGAATCTGGTACAAGGCCTAATGAGGTTACATTTCTAGCTGTTTTCACAGCTTGCTGCCATTCTGGCTTGGTCGATGAAGGTCGTAGCTATTTCAATCAGATGACAAGTCCCCCCTACAATCTTTCTCCCTTGTTAGAACACTATGGATGTATGGTTGATTTGCTCTGCAAGGCTGAATTAGTAGGGGAAGCTATGGAGTTGATAAAGAAAATGCCCATGCCACCTGATGTGCAGATATTAGGAGCTCTTTTGAGCGCCTCCAACACATATGGAAATGTCAGATTAACCCCAACAATGTTGAAATCACTTCCAAATTTTAAATACCAAGAGAGTGGTGTATACGTGCTTCTGTCTAATCTATATGCAACTGATAAGAAATGGGCGGAAGTAAGGAATGTTAGGAGATTGATGAAGGAGAAAGGAATTTCCAAAGCTCCGGGTTCTAGCATTATAAGGGTGGATGGTAAGAGTCATAAATTTATAGTTGGAGATAACAGCCATCCTCAAAGTGAGGATATTCACATTCTATTAAACAACCTTACCAATCAAACCTATCTTGAGGGTCATATTGATACTCTCTCTTGATCAAACAGCAGCATCAAGATGAGAGTAGCTATTGTTCATCATATGAAGAAAAGATGATCAAACAGCAGCATCAAGATGAGAGTAGCTATTGTTCATCATATGAAGAAAAGATGATCAAACAGCAGCATCAAGATGAGAGTAGCTATTGTTCATCATATAAAGAAAAGATGTTTGGTTTAAATTGCAGCTATGGAATGCGTCAACTCATAAACAATGCGGTCATCATAGCAAAGGTTCATATGAATTCCAAACAAATGTTGGTCTTATTGGCATACAAATCAAATGTCTCAGGAGATCCCAAAATTATTTTAGGATATCTTGCTGGAGCTTGGGCATGCTAAATACTTACCAATGACATTTTATTCTGTTAAATCCATCACACATTGACCTGAAATGTGAGGGGCAAGGATACACATGCGTTATAGAGCGCTAACACGAAGAAACAAATTCTACAATTGGATCATTGTATTGCCGAAATGGTAAGCTCCGCTCAAAAGTCAGATTTTTTTTGATAAAAACTCCTTAAATTATTAGCATATATTAACTTATTGTAAGATTATATCTGACAGTAACAATATAATTATGTGGAGGATCTTATGTTTTAATTGATAGTGTCTATTTGTAAGATTGATGAAAACTAGAAATGCTAGATTTTTCAGCTCCATATGAAGTTCCTCGCCTTCATTAAAAACCTTTTTGGAATTCTTTTATCTATCGTACTACATTGATCCTTCATGCATTGTTTGTTTATTGTGGTTATGCGGTTGTTTATTCATTAATATTTCCAATTTTGATTTCCAACTCGCTTGTTTTGTGACTTTCTAAGCTGATTTTTTTTTATTTATTTATTTACTTTTACTTCTGATAGCTGTTGATTCTGTTATGTTATATAGGTTTCCAGATATTTGCTGAAGAAGCCTATGCAATGAATTGACCATAATATGCAGCTCATCCACCCAGACTCATAACCATGCACTGCATTGACCATCTCTTCCACCAACAGACTCATAACCATGCAATGCATTGACCATCTCTTCCACCAACAGACTCATAACCGCAACGAGCCATGAACCACGCCTCTATGCCTCTGTTCTGATCAACATTGACCACATACGAGATGGTGTTCAAATTTTTTTTCCTCGTCTATGGCTTCGTCTGAGCACAGGTCTGTAATTATTATTTTGTTTGATAGTTTTCTTAACGTATTGCTGAATTACACTATGGTCATTTCTCCATTTCTCCACTACATGAGGGAAATAGCTGCTATAGTAATAGCAGCATGCCATGTTTTGCTTGAACATTGTTGATATCCACTGCTTATTTTCTCACTCAAAAAAGAAAGAACCAGCATCAAACTCAATTGATTATCAGCTTATGCTGCCATCCTGCTCTTTTTGTGGCATGTGATTTACTCTCCCCATTGCGTTTTTACCTAATGTTGTTTGTTTTTCTGTTCAGGGTGGTCGCTTGTGGCTAAAGATGAAAACAAAAGTCAAGCAATGTTACGCGCGGTGATATCTTTTTATCTTGAAGGTTTACTAGTGTACTACTATTACTTGAGATATTTCTGTTTTATTAACTTCTCATTAATTTGGTTTATAAATTCTGCAACTTTTGTTTTTCTCATCTATAGCATTAACAGAGAATGAGTTACTATCAAACCTAAAACAGAGGAGTAAATAACAACTTAAACCAACAATAATAACTATAACTTGAATTTTTGAGTTTCTACAATGTACTAAGGTCATTATGGAAGAATCTAAAATAGAGGAAGAACAAATAACTTGAAACAAAAATATTAACTAGACTTGAACTAATCTTGAGTTTCTACATGATTTTTTGAGGTTTCCTATTCTCATGCAAACTTGTTCTTGTATATTCTATATTCTCTTCACAATTAGATGCTGAATATGTTAGCAAATAAACCTAATTCATAATTTCCCTCGCAATATTTGCATGCAACACCGATATCATCATTATCAACTTCATCATCACACCATGTTGAATGTTTCTTCAACTTCTCTGTTCCACCACATGTCTCGGAACAACACAAAGACAGATTTTGAACCACAACATGATTTTTCACCCACATGCTTTTAATAAAAGACTTCACCCTCTTTCTACATCTTGCAACCGTACTATTGCATGTGGAATTTTTCAATTCACCAAAGAGATCAAAACCAAGTTTTCTTCCTTCTTCATTTTCTTCACAATTAGCCATCAAAAGCATAGAATAAACATATTTAGCTTCATGATGACCCTCTAACGCAGCCTTTTTCAAATTCTCAAAACCCAAATTCACCATTGAAGTAGTACTAAAATATTGCACCATTCCTTCACGATAAAGAATCTCCAAATTATCATTTTCTCTACAACGTCTCAAGAACGAGGTTTCTTTTTCATCCCTGAACCATGGAAGTGGAATCAAAGCAAAGTTTTCCATGGATGCATGTTGATAAACGTAACCTTCTTCTGAAGCATTAAGAAAATCCTTGCAACTTAATTTCATTCGGCAGAGATCAGCCATTGAATGTGATGCAACCTTTCCAACAATCTCCACCAATAATTCTGTTGGAAGAGTTTTTACGATGTTGATGGGAGAAGCGTTTTTTTGCTTCTTCAGTTTATTAATTTCCTTCTTCGCTCTTAACAAAGCCATTTTATTAAAACCTTGTTTTTGTTTCTTTCTCCTATAGATGAAGTTAGATTAGATGATAAAGAAATGAGAGGACGAACTTCAATTTATAGGACTTATTTAGAAGACTCCTGAATTAAATAAAATTTAATTATTTTGGTGACTCGAATCCCAATTGGTGTAATGTTTCAAAATGTTTCTTATTGATTTGATACTTTTCTTTATTTGATATAATGAATGAAGAAAAATCTAATCATAATAATAATCAATGTAGATGCATTTGAAAATTACTTAAAATAAAATAAAAATTCTTAAAAAAATAGTTAGTTTTACTAATATAAGTACAATATGTGAATTGTACTAAACAATAATAAAATACATTAAGTGAATTAATGGTTGAATAAAAAAAGTAATAAAATAAAATATGTGAATTATAGTAAATACTAAATAAAATAGAATATGTGAATTAATGGTTAAATGAAAAAAGTGAATTAATGGCGGTTGGACATAGTCAAATTTATGATTGCAACAGAAAAAGTAGCCGCCAACGTGTCAAAATGGGTTTTTGTTAAACCTTTATTTTGGTTTTGCTAAACCCACATTAACCGATTCGTGTCAAAATGGGTTTTTGTTAAACCTTTATTTTGGTTTTGCTAAACCCACATTAACCGATTCTGGAATTCGGTAGGGTAGTGGAGTAGAGATGGATAACAGTCCCACAAAGCTGGATTATTATCATGACATGTGGAACCTCCAATCTACTGCCACACTTGTTTCTCATTTCAAGGTAATAAATATTTTTTTTTCTGATTTTTTTTTTTTACTTTAGATTTTTAACTTTGTGAAAATGATGAAAAGGGAGATGATGGGAGGCATGTTTTGATATTGGATCGGACTATTTTCTATCCGCAAGGTGGTGGTCAACCGGCAGACACTGGGTTCATACACATTCATGGCTTTGATGCCAAGTTTTTGGTTCATGATGTTCGATCAAAAGATGGAATTGTATGTTCCTTTTTTGAAAATTTATATTTTTTCTTGTTAAATTTTGAATAAAGTTTTTATTGTTACTTTAATTTTGTGTAGGTTTTACATTATGGCGTATTTGAGGGTTTTGGAGAGGAGTTTGAGACCATACTCGAGAAAGGGAAGGAGGTTTCTCTATTTGTTGACGAGCATAGACGAAAATTGAATTCTAGGTAGACAATTTTACAATTGAATTCCAAAATTTGTAACAGCACAGCGTGTTAATGTTTTTCTATGCTTCATAAATTTGTAATTCTGCTACTATGAATCTCATATTTTTATTTATTTTTGTTTATTGTCTAGGTTGCATTCAGCAGGACATTTGCTTGATATTTGTATGTCAAAAATTGGATTAGGTCATTTAGAGCCCGGAAAAGCTTACCATTTTTCTGATGGGTATACTATACTATTAATTACAAGCATTTTATCCCTTTTATGTGTAACTAATGTACCGGCTTTGATAAGTGTTAAGAAAATTACAAACTTTACTTTGGACTTGCTGTTTTGTTAACAGGCCTTGGGTTGAATATAAAGGTGTAATTCCACAAAATGAAATGCAGAATAAGCAAAAGGAGCTAGAGCTAGAAGCTAATTCTTTAATTTCCATGGGTGGGAAGGTAAGTTTAAGTGTTTATGATTTGGCTTTTATATTTCACAGTGGCACATGTTGCTTGTTCTGAAAATTTTCTCCTTGCCATTTAGGTTTCTGCTGATATATTACCATATGATGAAGCTGCTATGCTTTGTGGTGGTATTCTTCCTGATTATGTTTCTAAGGTCAGTCTATAAAAGAAATATACTATGCCACAAATAATTCTTGTGTTTTTCATCTTAAACTAGTTATTGGTTTTCTTATATAACTGTGGTGCCTGTGAGTTTGATGTCGAATAAGATTCTATTGGAATTCAAGTGTGAATAAGATTCTATTGGAATTCAAGTGTGAGTGGTTAAGTTTCACATCGACTAGAAATGGAGGAAGAAAATGTTGGGGTATATAAAAGAGGTGAACCATCTTCCCACTGTCTAAAGATTTTAAGTGGATATGTGGTGTCAAGATCTTAGATCATGAACATGTTAAGGCCATTGACACTTCCAACGCTTCCCAAACAAGTGTTATTTGAGCCATGGTTAGGCTCGGTGGGGGAGCGGAAATGGGATCCTCGTATGGATCAAGGCTAGTGAGGTGGGTGACTCACATTTTTAGGGAGAGTTTTGAGTGTATATGCGGTGTCAAAGTCATTTGGATCCTAAACGTTTAACCCATTGTCACTTCTGGCGCTCCCTGGACTCCCCCAACAAATTCGATCTAGATTCTATGCTGCATATTTTTTCCACTTTGTCTTTGTTAATAGTGTCTCATCGGACAAAATATGGGATGAACCTATCTGTATAAGAGGACAATCCTCAGCTTACAATCCGGTTTTGAGGGGTTGAGTTAGTTCCAACTACAATTCTAAGTGTTATCAAATGATAGAAACTCTACCCGCTTTCATGATAAAGTTTGGTTGTTATTGTTATCCTGAAATTCTTTTTACAAAAATGGAAACTCTCATTCCAGCTGTTATGATCAAATCAATTCAAGTATATAAAGGAAGAAAATACTCTTTGTGCTTTCCTAATGTTGTGTTTGTTTGTTGATGTCAATAAGTACTCAGCAGTATCCCTGTCTTATTTATTTCCTTATGTGCATGTATTTCCTTGGATATAACCAACCCAACAGTATCAATTTAAATCAACTATATCATGTTTCTTTTCTCATCTATGCTCTTTTATAAAAGAAGCCTGACCGGCCCTTGCTTTAATTTCCACTCCAAGATGTCTTGGCTAATATTGTTTCCCTACCTATACTTAAATTTACCTAACAAAAGTTTCCCACATGAGGCGCCTCCCCTGACATTTCCTACTAATTGTAGGCATCACCTCTACTATTTTAATACCTAACAAAAATTGCACATGAGTCATCTTCTCATAATTTGTTCCCACTAATTTTATGCTCTCAGCTCCGCTTAACAAAACCTACACATTATATATAAGGCCTTCTCCCATGATTTTTTTCAATCTGATACCTGACATAGCCTTAGGACTGACCCTTTAAAGAGACAAAGAACTATGAAATATTTAGCACACATATCAATCAATGTATTTATCTACTGTACTTAATTATAAACTATGCAAGAGCTAGTGGGAAGCATTTTTAGAATGTCATTCTTAATGTACTTTCCTTGGATCCTTATTCCCATATTATGTTAGTAACTTAATTTGTCATTAAAAAAAAAAGATGTCTACCAAAGCTCCGTCCTTTCTTGTGTTGTAATTTTTTATTGCACGAATCCTTTGAAATTAGCTGACAGATTATTCCTAAGAATCTTATGGATACATTACATGATATATGTCATTACATGCTTATGCATATATTGGAAGTTAAATGACGGAGAAATAATATAATTGCCATTTATGGAATGCGCCGGTCTCTATAACTAAGTGGATGCGAGTTCAAACTGTGCCACCCCTTATAAAAAAGAAGGTCCAATTACAGGTAGGCCTGTCTGGTGTCCAATGTCCATATTTCATCAGAGAGCTCTTGCATGAGTTACAGATATAGATAACTATAGATTATGTTATTAAACTCGGCTGTTATCTTGGCATGGAACAGCAAAACCAAAAGCACCGCACCAGGGCGTGCTGTTCCGTCACAAATGCGTGACTCGGTTGGAACGGCCGCGATAATGCGATTGGATTTGGAATGGTGCCTTTCTGACATGGCCGCTCCGGACGCATCATCCTTATATGATATTACCTTAAATTTTTAAGGGTAGCAAAGTTGTTTTATTGAATTTTATTGACAATTGAAATGCTTAAGGCTTATAATTTTTATTTTTATTGACATATGAAATGCTTAAGGCTTATAATTTTTATTTCCAAATATGAATATTTCATGAATTTTGATTGATTTATTTTAGTTTTTAACAATTATGTGTTCATTAGTATTAACTGTATTAGTGTCTGCGACACCAAAATATCAGCCATTCCGCTCCACGCTCCCTTTTTGGGAATCCCTTTTTGGGAATGCCTGTGCCGCGCCGATATCCGAGATTGATCACATAGGTTAAAATACATTAGTTTAAGTTTTTGTGATGATTGGTTTATAACAACTTTAAATTTCATCTCTAGAATCAGTCTGTTTTGCTGATTAGTATATCTAGCTTTAATTCATCAACTCACACAGGAAAGCACGCCTCGCATTGTGCGGATAGGGGATAATCCGGGATGTCCCTGCGGTGGTACACATGTTTTAGATATTTCGGACATTACAAAAGTTAAGGTGTGTGATCCATTTACTTCTTACACTACTAAACAAAAAAAAGGTTGATTTGATGATATCTACATTAATTTACTCTTACCAATTAGTCAATCATATCTTTTATTATGTTTCATATCTCACATAAAGCTGTTGCAAACTTGGAATGAAACCGTTAATAGTTAAGAGACTTATGATTTGATCTACATATAAAAAGATATTTTCTCTTTGGTTGCTAATCTATATAACACTCTTGCTAATAGTTATATTTGTATTTGATCAGGTTTCTCAAATTCGGTCGAAGAAGGGATTGACAAAAGTATATTACAATATTGAATCTTAGTTAAATGGACGAGTCCTTTATCAATGAACTGTTGTTTGAGATTCATGGCAATGACTACTCTTGGCCAGGCTATTTTGCAGATGACAAGCTAAATTTGAATCATATTAGTCTCTTATTAACAACTATATTATATCTATTTATGGTTTATGGATGATGAGTTTGAAAAGAACAATAATACAATAGCTTTAGTTTGTGAAGACAGTGACACATTTACACACATACAGAGCATATATAGAAATAGCCTTCTTTTTTTGCAGTCATATTATACTCCTCATTCCAAATTCCGGTTTCTACTTTGGATTTGGAATCAAACTCAATAACCACCCTTTCCTTTTGCTTCAAGCTCACGCATATTGACCAAAGCATTTTGCATTCAGCATTTCTCACACGTCATAATCACAATGATTTTGATATTGTTGTCCCCATCCTCACATCGAATGGGTGGTAGTGATGAGTTTCGCACCTTGTCCTCTAAACTTTTTTCCCTTTGCTTTGGCTGCATAATAACGAGGCGAAACTTAAGCTTACAAAGAACAGGCCCATGCACATCTGCATATTCGTATTTGGTTGGTGTTTATAGTATTTTTTAGCAAAAACTCTTTTAGATAGAAAAATGGGGTACAAAGTCACTCGATAAACGAGTGGAACCTAACGTTTGAGGTTAGGCCATTCAAATTCTTCCGTGCAGCATCTGGTTATGACATATGTTAGGCAATAATTCAACATAATGGGCATCCTATCCGATTCCATGACATAAAGTAACATAATGTTTCACCCAATTTTATGTTGTTTTCATCATTAAAAACAGGAACTTAAGAAACTAGACTAACTAGAAAGTGGAAAAGTCTAATATAATTATTTCTAATAATAAAATATTTTGACAAAATGTGTCAAAAAAAAATTATTTAGCAAAAAAAAATTATGTTTGTAAAAAGCAATTAAGAAAGTATTTGCTAAGAAGAACCCTACAGCGTTCAGTATGGTGATCAAGTTTCTTAACATCTTCATTATATAAAAGTCTCATTAACGTGATACCAGAGTTATCCATCCCAAATAGAGAAGTTTCAAATAGCTAAAACTTAACATCTTCATTATATAAAAGTCTTATTAACGTGATACCAGAGTTATCCATCCCAAATAGAGAAGTTTTAAATAGCTAAAAGTGGAATAGTAGATAGCTTGAAATTCGCTATTCGATTTTTTAAAGATTATTTATATGATTATCTATAAAATATATGATAGAGGATAATGGGATAACATATAGTTATCAAGTCTGGAAAGTGTTACGACTAAATCACCACACATATATTAAAAATTAATAAAAACCCCTGCGTTCGAACGAGTCTATTAGTTTTAATTGGTAAATAATTTATTTGTGTGTACATATAAATATGAATAGATAAATTTTATTGTGTAATGCACATTAATTATTTCGAATAAATAATATTTTAAAATTATCAAAAAAGAAAAATGAAAAGAAAAAAAATGAAATTATGTTAATATCATCTTCATAAATTTCATGATTTTGTATCTTATAAAAAAATCAAAGATCTTTCATGTACTAAATATGAAAACTTTCTTATAGCAACGGAAACAATAAGTACGGCTATACTATGGGAAAAAAATGAAAAGAACAAATGATTTGCAATATATGGATACAAAATATAGTAGTAAAATTGAGTATGAATGTCAAAGAAAAAAGGAAAGACACAAACTAAAATAAAAAAATACAACATGTGTTACAATCATTCATGATATTGGGTAGATTGTGAATCATGAATTTCCTTAATGAACAAAAGTTTTCAACCTGTATAGAATAACATATATATTAGATGACAACTCAGAATACTATTTGTAATAGACAATAAATGATACAAAACAATTTACATTAAAATACGTATGAAATATTGTGAAAAACTTTCTTGAAGACAACATTAGTGGTAATATGCATAACCTGTTTATCTTTGTCATGAATCAAAATCTTAAGACCTTCCTTAGTCCTATAACTCTATAAAGTGCCACATACAATTGACCATGACTAAAAACATCTTTTGGTAAGTATAAACCAACGTTGTCTAAAGATTGACCCTAAGATTTGTTAATTGTCATAGCGAAAGAAACAATAATTGGGAATTGTCTTCTCACCAATTTAAAAGACCATGGTGATTGTGAGGGAGATAAAGACATTCTTGGAATATAAATGATGTTACCAATATTCTTTTCAAAAATGATCTTAGCTTCAATGACACGATTAACAAGTCTTGCTACAGTGAGTCGTGTACCATTGCATAATCCTTCAGATTGATCCAAGTTACGCAACAACATAATTGTGGTCTCAATTTTCAACTTTATTGAATGATTAGGCAATTTTGATGTTTTAAGAGCATTCAAGAATTCAGGTATCAAGTGTTCAAATGCATCAAAGTCAATTGCTTCAGATCTATCTACATAATCGCTACTGAAGTATTCTTTTCTTCCCCTTTAAAACATAAAAGAAAAATGTATTCGCATTTAATAATAAATAATAGAAATACATAAGTTACAAAGTTAAATATAGTATGAAAGCATGAATAGTACCTGGCAGAAAACTTGTGATGTATTCATTGATATCATCTACTACTTCAATAGTTGAAAACAGAATTGCACGACTTTGAAGGTAATTGAAATCGTGGTAGTTATGAATGAGATCGGGGTAAGTACTTTAACAATAGCCTCCATAGGATCTGAAAAACTAGAATGAGAAACTCTTGGGGAATTGTAATCTCAACATAACCATCATTTGGTTAAGACATTGTAAGTTTGAGTATCTTGCAATGATCCCAAATATATGAAGCATTGATGGTTGCATGAATAATATCTGATCTAGTACCTCTTGGTATAACAGGAAAAATTTGTCAGAAATTACCACCAAAAACAACAACCTTCCCTCCAAAAATGTTTTCAGACGATTCTCCATTAATACTCATAATATCCTTCAAAGATTTGTCAAGAGCCTCAAAGCAAAATTTGTTAGCCATAGGAGCCTCATCCCATATGATTAGATCAGTCACCTTTAAAAGATCAACAAGTTCATCTTTTTTGTCAATGTTGTAAATGGAAGATTCTAAAGTAGGGACTGGAATCTTAAATTTAGAATAAGTTGTTCTTCCACCTGGTAACAACAAACTTGCAATTCCACTTGAGGCAACAGAAAACCAAATTTTTCTTTTAGCAAGAAGTGCAGCTGACAAAGTGTTCCATATAAAAAAAACACACCGCCTTTTTGTTTTTCTACAGCTTCCATTATTTCTTCAAAAATCATGGGCCTCTTTAATTTCCTCAATAAATTCTTTATCGTCTTGTAAGAATCCCATAGCAAAGCATGCTTCTCTAAAAGTTTTATGTTGTACACCATCAACAAATTTGATATTTTTGTAACTTAATGGGCCCTTTTTGAAAGTCAACATCATCCTTAGATAAAATAATTCACCTGTGCTTTGAGGAGTCCAAATAAGACGACCAATGGTATATCCTCTTTTCCTAAGTTTCCAACTCCTACTTGGTTTATGGTAAACAAACTTAGAGACAAAATCACCATATGTTAAGAATCATGCATCTTAAAATTTCTTGTTTGCCTCAAACCATGTTGTAAACATTGATTTGGTTACACTTGGTTTGAGTGAAACATTTTCGATTTGCTCGAAGTCTTTGTAGTATACAGAATTTTCTCCTTCCATGTGAAAATACAATTTCTCAACAGCCGGCTTCCTACCGTGAATAGAATATGCAAATATTCTCCAACATGCTTCACTTGGGGAGATGTATCAACAATCTAGATATTGCTTGATTTCATCAATGTTATTTTTCTCAGCACAAGTAGTGTTGTCAGAAGGTTGAATAACAGCAGAAATTTGATCCGAACCTTTGTTTATGTATTTGAACAGGTATTTGATAGAAGTACTTTGATTGCACCATTCCATGTTGATATGGGCTTCATACTTCAACAATCAACTTGGATTGCGAGGAACCACATGACCATTGTTAAGGATGGTTCCATTTTTCTCAATTGTGTGTCTATTGTCTCTTCTCTTATACACTGGATAGCCATCTTGATCCACAATTGTTGAAGATTGGAACTTTTTTGGATAATACTTGGAGCATTCCATGTCTTTCATGCAAGGTGAATTCCGATTTGCCAAACCACAAGGGCCATGAACCATGTGAGTTTTAACTAAATTGTACAACTTTGGGTCTTTCAAAGGACCAGACACTTCAGCACTAATGATTTTGTCAATATCTTCAGGTGTTGGATACTTGTTAGAAGGATGCAAAAATAGCAAAATATGTGCATGTGGCAACCCTCTCTTTTGAAAATCAATGGTGTACATATCTAGAAAATATTGATAAAAAAGACTTAGAATTAGCATAAAGTAAATCAAATTAAAGTAAGGTTGAGAAATATAACTTACATGCAAACACTTTGCCTAACACACCTTTCTTTGTTAAATCTGAAAGTAATTGATCAAACTTGATTTTGAATATCCTCGAAATAACATCTGGTCTATCTTGTGCTTTCAAATGAAGAAGTGTCAATACTCTTTGTATCTCAGGCCAATTTGGGTTGCAAGTAAAAGTTATGAATAAATCAGGAAATCCCATTTTACTACAGATAGCCATGCCATCATAGTACAATTGATCCATAAACCTACGACCGCCAACATAGGAAGATGGCAAAAGCACTCTTTTCCCTATGGTTGATCCCGGTGTTTGACTTTGATCACCTTCATCATTAAGACTGTTGTACTTTGACACCCTGAGTTTTGGTTGATTTTTTCGGATGCATTCTAATTTTTCAGACTCTAACATTGTGTAACCATCAACCAATTTTTTTTGGAATAGTCGTCGTGATGATAACAATGTCTTAACTTCATTGAATCTACTTTGAATGCGAAATGACAACCATTCCCTTATGGTTGGTCTGTTTCTCTTATTGTCTTGGAAGATGTCTAAGTCTCTATGAG